GGACCGTTATCGCCCCGCGCGCCCCCGGCACGAGCCGCCGCGCGCTCCTGCTCGTCGGGGTTTGGGAGCGCGCGGTCCAAAAGCACCGCGTGTTGTCCCCTTTCTGCCACGTCCGCACACCAATCGAAACCTTAGTTTTGCAGGGATCAGAGGAACTTTACATTTTTTTAACCTGGCTTCACCCCACTTAAAGCAATGTTTCAGGTACAGTGTTAATGAAAAGCTCCTGTCATAAACGCAGGGAACACGGGTGTCAGCCAGCATAATAAAGGTAATGTAAAAATCATAGAAAGCTGGTATGTGACACGCACTAACCCTATTACGCAGGCGGTGCGCGCACGTGCGTGATATTCAGGACACCCTCTTATCAGGTTTAATTACATTAGTACCTCCTGCTCATCTCCAGCGCAGTATAAAAGAAGCAAGGCAACCACCAGAAATAAGCGTCGCAAGGTAAAGCAGAGAAGGGAGCTCAGCAGCGGCTTCTCTCCCGCGGTTTGATTCGCCTGCACAAACCCCTGTCGGACAGCCCTTTATTTTTTATTTTTGGTAACAAACAAACAAACAAAACTAAAACCAGATTTGATCACGTTTTTCCATAAAGGAAAAAGCTGAACTACTTACGGCTACAAAGACAGAGGAGATTGTATTAAAGGACTGTGAATCTAGACCTCTTTGTTGTGTTCGCAGGGATTTTCAGGGTGATTTAGTGTGGATTGATTTGCAGTTTATTCTGCAGCCATTGTTTGTAATGTGCTTTGCAAGCTCATGTACTCTGAACCTTAATTGTTCTAAATTAAACTATGGGGACCAGACAGAACACATTTCAATCAGAATTACAAAATATTGCACCAAATTCCTTGGGGATACATAATCTCCCGCTATGTCTGCAGTGCTTGTATACATGCGGGAGGAGTGAGAAAGCATATTTAGGAAGACATTTGACTATAATTTAATTTACCCTTTTCCACTGGTAAAGCAAACAAGGGAAGGGATATTGGCAGAAACGAGCAAGGGACGTACTTCTGAAGCTGTCTCACAGTGGCATTTTTCTCGTCCTGCTTAAGCGGCTGCTTGTGCGTAATTCTCCATGCAGGGCCTGTCAGGCAGCAAAGCACTCCCAGCCGTGAAGGTCTGGGTGCTGACTGGTGTCGCAACGACTTTGGCAGCCTAGAGGAAGTAATAAAAGCTCACTTAGATGAGCATGGGAGGGAGCAATATAACTTGCATTGATTTGAGCAATTCTGGGAGAAAGAAGCTCAAATATCAGGGGTTGGAGCCCTTTTAAGCCAATAACCCTTTAGTGAAAGAGCCCTGTAATATTTGCTTGAAAACACCTTTGTGCATCCTTGCTAGGGCTGACCTGGCTCCTGCAAAGTTGGCAGCCAAGGAAAACTTTTTTTTTTGGGTGGCTAACTGCTTCCCCAGCTGACGTCCCTCTGAGGAACAATGGAGAGGCTTTTCTGATAAAGAAATTATACGTGAAGATATAATTTGGGAGGAAGACATTCGGCAAGAATGAGAAACAGTGGGGCAATCCAGGATGGATGGCGAAAGAGGCAGGGATTTTGGGGAAGAGCAGAGGATGCTAACCTAAACCCGCATCGATGGGGAAATACGTGCTCAGGGAAGCTGTACGGCTGCAAGTCACACGCCTGACCTGGGCCAGGCCGCCAGCTCAGGGTGCCAAAGGCCTGATCTTTTTCTTTTTTTTCATTCAGCACTACACTGGGTTAAAATTATAAAAGAATCCTTTTTGGGGGCAGGGGATTTCCGGTGCAAATGGTTTGATTATTTCAAATAATCTTTGGGGCCCTTTTAAAAAACGGGCAGAGCTGGGGGAAAAGGAAGGTGTCCCCACTGCGGGGATGGAGGTGTAAGTGCTGCTCAGTGGGTCCTGTGTTGCCTTTTACAGTGCCTTCATCCGTGGTCCTTGGACCGCAGGTAAGACACCTCTCACGGAGGTATTTACGTCGCCCTCACGCCCACGCTGCCTGAACACCTTGGTCACCCTGCATTTATTTTCATGGCAATGGCGTGAATTAGAAGAGCGCTATTTTTCTCACTCCACCTGCCTGAAGAGCAGAGACACTGAGGGCAAGAAAAAAATTAACAAGTGCAAATCAGAGATTAGCTGCCCAAATCCATCCTTACGAGCCCACCTGACTTTAAAACATCCAGCCACTCCTGTTTTGCAACACCTATGGCCAGGCCAGGACTTTCAACCCAATTCATCCTTCCAACCAGTGATTCAATCTACTGACTCCTTCCTGACTCTCCTGTCTCTGGGAGCACCTGAGACCACGAACCTCGGGGCGAGAAGGAAGGAAGGTTGCATCAAAGCAGGCGAAAGTGAGCCTCGGCCCCTGCCCGGCGCTGGGCACCATTCACACGGCGTTGCGCGAGGCACCAAGGTTTGGGGGTGGAATTGAAGCCTTGTCCTAGCTCGCGAGCATCGGTGCCTCTTCCTGTCACTTCCCGTCCAGGGCGATAGGAGTCAAGCGATCGGCAACTCGGCCAGCCCCGGACAGCACAAGCGATTTGTCAGAGCTCTTTCGCTGGGAGGTCGCTGCGAGCCAGAGCGTGTTTAGGCACCGTATGTGTCCCTATTTATCGACTGCACCTGTGCTTCCATGCAGAGCCCGAAACAAACACTCTCATACTCAATTTAGCATAGCAGCCTGAATTAGTTAATTTTAGTCAGTTGGTGATTGTTATCGCTAAGATCCACCACTGTTCTGCCTTGCGCAGGCATTAAAATTAGTGTGAAGATTGACAGCCTCTTTCCGGAAAGAATAAAAGTATCCACACATTCATGACGAATATAAACAGAAAGGTCAAGACTCAAAACCCAGCAGTCACCTATATAGTCTCCAAACAGTAGCCTGCCTCATAAGGTCACAACTCATTTAGGCCCAATGCTTTCTATGAATGCTCTGGCAGATGTACGGGAGTGAATGGCTTATTTATCATCAGAGAATGAGTCTGAATGTAACTTTACTGAAAATAGTAAGTTTTTACTCCTGTGCTTTACTTTAGATTGCCAAATTACATTTGACAGTATTAGAAGAATAGGTTCAAATATGCAAACTGAGACAAGAATGAGTGAATACACCGTTTGCAGTGCCTGTAACGTTCTGACTGCCTGTTTTTGTCCGAGGTTTTCAATCCCTTCAATATTTACACATCTGAAACCTTCTGCTGGAGGTAGAGGCCCTCATATTGAAAATGTAAGCCAATTGCCAATCAGTTTGCTATCCTTGCTCATCTTTTATAGCGCTTCTGTTCATAGTCCTTGGACCGCAGGTAAGACACCTCTCACGGAGGTATTTACGTAGCCCTCACGCCCACGCTGCCTGAACACCTTGGTCACCATGCATTTATTTTCATGGCAATGGCGTGAATTAGAAGAGCGCTATTTTTCTCACTCCACCTGCCTGAAGAGCAGAGACACTGAGGGCAAGAAAAAAATTAACAAGTGCAAATCAGAGATTAGCTGCCCAAATCCATCCTTACGAGCCCACCTGACTTTAAAACATCCAGCCACTCCTGTTTTGCAACACCTATGGCCAGGCCAGGACTTTCAACCCAATTCATCCTTCCAACCAGTGATTCAATCTACTGACTCTTTATTCACAGCCCCTGATATTTGTTCCATGTTGAGCTCTGGGTTCTCAACTTTTCATAGTGCAAATGAAGACAGGCATAAGATGTGAATCCTTGGGGCAAAAATGAGGTAAGAGCAGTCAGTTACAGCAGTAACAGGGTTAGCACATTCGGAGACTTGCGGTTTGGTGTTTATAAGTGCCAACTTTTCAATGCCTAGCTAAAGAAAACTGTATTTATTTATTAACTAAAACCCCCTATGTTTAAACACCTAACTAGAAAAAAATCGATATTAAAATCTGCACTTACCACCAAAGGCACCCTGTGCATCTACACTAATTAGCCTTCATGGGATCTCTACTGCACCAGTGCTCCAAAACTGTAAACTAATTTTTGCTGCAAGTGGCTTAGAGGGAGGTATGAATACAGACTACTGCACTGAGAAAGACTCGCTATGTGCCCTGCTGTTAACCAAATGAGAAGGTGATTTGGTGACTTAAATGAAAGGGATTTCAGTGGGTCTAGTACATTTTGTTTCCAATGTGGAAAAAACCCCCAGTGTCACACAACAGACAATCTTAGCATAAAGGAAAAGGCTTGGTAGGCACGGATACAGATTTACTCATGCTAAATGCTGCTGGTAAATAAAAGATATGCTGATTACAGTATGGCTTCCTTTTTTTTCCCTCTAGGGTTGCCAATAGGGTAGAAAAATATTTTTTGGGAGAACAACTCGGCAGCTACAGTTTCTAAGTAAAGCTTCTTATTTGTACAACAAAAATCAAAACAACCTTTTATTTGTCACTGCAGGGAGAAGAAGAAATATGATTCCTGTCTCCTGGCTTTGTAATGTCCTCTTCTTCAGCTGTGCATTTTGCCCAGTTGTGTCTTATCATGTTAGTGAAAGGAGGGTTTCTGCTTCTTTCTTTCCCCCCCGTCTTTCTTTCTTTTTCTCTCTCTCTCTTTTTTTTTTTTTAATACCTCCCTGTTCTTGACCTGACCTCTTGCTCATGTAACATCTCAGTTTTTAAATGGTCATTCACTATCACCATTTCTTTCGGAAAACACGTTTCTAAGCTTAAGCATACAAGATTATAGCAGATTTCTTAGCTTACTGTGTAGTGTGTTTCCCATGTGATAGCTTCTCCTCAGGAAAGCTATTCTTTCATGCAGCCATAGCACCAGCATTGATCAGTGGAAAAGTTCAAGGCAGCAACTCATCAAGCACAGCTTCAATACTAGATTCCAGACAAGGTCTGCAATAAATAAGACCAGTAACAAAGCATCATATTTCCTCCTTATACAGAAAACCAACAGTGACACAGTTCTAAGTTTCAGAATATAAGGACAATCTCTTCTCTGCATTGGAGCAAGATGAAAGCTGGAGGTATATTCCCTTTTAATACAAACTATCTTTAAGTAATTACGAATTTTTAGGACGCTGGGCTTTGAAGTGTATGAGCATATAATTTTAAACGCACAGGTTCTTACTGTATGAGATTCTTCAGTGCATTCACTGCATCGTACTTCGCTGTCTGAACGCTGTGATATTATTGAATATGCGCGTTTAGAATATATTATTTTGACCCCAGTGTTAGTTACTGCTTTTTATAAAATATAATAATGGTTCCAAGATTTCAATGTTAGCTAACAAAAAAAGAACAATCTAGTGCTGTAAGCAGATAGGAAAAAAATTCCAAATAGCAGTGCGATAAAAAAATATACACCCTATGAGGCCCTCACAGATTATTGCTATTGATTTCTTTCCTGGAGACGTGGAAATGTTACCAGATGGGGTGTTAGGCAGTAAGTGTGTGGGTGCAAACGCAGTTTATTGCTTGCTGTCTAGAAATCACTGAAAACCTTCACAATTCTGTTTGGCTGTGTCACATAAAAAGGTAAATTTTTTGCCCTACACTAGTCCTTACAAAAAGCTACATGACATGCTATAGCAATGAGCATACAGCAAATTTGACTCAAAGGAAAAAAAGATCAACAAGAGAATTAAACACGCGCAGACACACACACACTTCCCAGGGACCGTAAAACGCCTTGCACACATTTGAGCATTTGTCCTCATCTTGGTGATATCCTTGCACTATGTTCATTTAAATTTATCTGAACGACTAAATTGATTTATTTCATGTTTTTTCTCTTCTACTTCTGCCTGGAACATTGGGCTCTGTCCTGTATTTTATGCTCATGGAAGTGCTAATAAGATTTGCTGTAGGTTTCTAAAAGTCAGGTACTGGAGCGGGAGTATAATGCACAACTGTGCCTGACCCCCTCGGGGATGCACCCATTAAAAAAAAAAGGCTGACCTTCTGTCACTTTCTTCCTCCTCCCTTTTAATGATTCCTTCTATATCCTTTTGAGAAGATCTTTACAGCCCTTTGACCCCTGTTAGAACAGGAAGACTTAAACAGCTAAAAGTACCCTCAATATCAGTGGTTGCCAACAGGAGCTCAAGAGGCTTTTTAGGAAATGCCAAAAAGACAATAACCTACATTTTCAATGCATTTAAAGACAAGTCCACATTCAATATTGTGTAATTCTCCTTTCGTTTGCTTTGGAGCAGTGTGCGTGCGCTGAGCCGAGGCCTGACAGTACAAACACACATTCCCCCAACAGCAAAGCTCGGCTTTGGAAGCGAACCCACTTTTAACGACAAGGCAGCAAATCTGAGCCAATTCTACATATTATGCTAATTGTTATTTAGAGTTCAGAAAAACAGATCCGTGCGCTTGAGAAGGATCGAGTGGCTCCGGCGTTCCCCCAGCGGCAGTGCCCACCTCCACCTCTGCGCCCCCCTCTGCAGAAACTCATGCCTGGCTGTTCCTTCACCTTGCAAAATCCGCCGCCACCCTGAGCTCCAGCTCAGCCCAGCAGAATCAGGTTGCGCCAAGCGGAAACCAGCTGTCCCCTGCTCTCCCTGAATATTTCCCCTGTTGTGGAGCACAACCTGGCAGTTTGTACGAAAGCAGATCGGAGCCCGCAGCTGGAGAACAGCTTGTTGCTGAACTCAGATGTAGGCATGAGCATCCAGTGGGAGGAAGCCTTACAGAATAGCTAGAGCGATACGGAGATGAAACCAAGGGATTGAAGTGCCTTCACAAACAACTCCTTCAAGAGGCTTGACCAGAGAACGCAAAGGAGCTGTTTCTTTGGGGCTTTCTGCAATATTTTAGATTCTTCACTCTTTCTGTGCAAGAGCTGCCTCTGATCCAGGCTCACTCAGCTCACACCAAGACAAGCAGGAAGCTTCATCTAAATAGTGCAGCTGATTAAATGGCAAGTGCTGAGCTGGGGTGCTCCAAAGAAACTAAGTGGTGCTGGAGGAGAAAAATCACATTTTAAAAGTTATTTGGACTAATTGCAACAGTATTATGTAAGCATGAGTGGAAATCTCATTATGTCTGTCATCAAAGAAACATATCATTAATATACCAGTCAAGCAGGTGAAGTATCTATCACTTTTATAATTTAGGGAATGGCTTTTTGGCGTAACAAATAATTTAACAGAAACTGAGGCAGATCTGCCCAAGCGCTCCATATGTCTGTGCATCTGATCTTTGGGAACGCTAACTATATAAGAGGAGCCAGAGCTGTGCCACTGACCCGATCCATCTCACTCACAGTTTGCAAAATGATCCCTGATATAACCAAGCTCTCATTCAGAGTGGTCCTCTGGGCTGTCAACAGATTCAAGAAAGAAAGTAAAACCTGAGCTAGTCTGAGGAATTTAAGTGAAAACCAGAGATGTTTACTAAAAGATGTTTCAGGGAAGACAATTAAACACCAGCACGTAGGTTACTTTTGCTACCTTCCGAGACCCTGGTTAATGTTTGCTGCTCATAGCAGAGCAACTTTGATTAACTTTGATAGTTCAAGCACTTTGCTGCTAAAGTGGCTTAAAAGAATTTATCGTGATGCAAGTGTGCCTCCCTACTGCAATGGAGAGCGCCAGTCTCCTTTGCTACTGAGAAGGAACATGTTCCCTTAAGCACACAAAGCAATTGTCCATGGTCTATTTGAGCAATTACAGGATGGAGCCTGCACTGCCATAGGTGACCTTATTGGGTCATCTGTAGACCGGCAGGCTTGTAAAATTGATGGAACTAGACTTCACGGCAGAGATTTCAAAGACAGTAACAAGGAGAGGCCCACATGAGTGATCCTGAAGCACTACAAAATGAATGGCCATGAATATAATTGGGCAACACCCCACGTAAAGCGTGATCCTCCAAACAATGAAATATTCTTTATACAATTCACTCTAAAGAAGACAAAGCCTTCTTCTTACATGTTTGCATGACCTAGTGTACAATGCAACAATAATCAGATGGTTTTGGTGTCACACTGACAAAGGATGAAACTTAGTTTGATATTTTCCATATGAAAAAGCCTATGAATTAAGAGCATGAGCACAGCAGAGCGTTACTTCCTTCTGGCTTTGGCAAACTCCATGGTGGCCACACAATAAGAGCAGATGCAGAAGCTATCCCTGCTTACTTTGGAAAAATTAGCAAGTGAGATCAGCTATTTCCTCCCTTGTGAATTTGCAAATCTGGCCAAGGGCAGTAATTTTATAATTTCCAATGAAAAGAGTAGCAGCCTCAAGAAAGGAAAAGGAGAGGTAAAATTTGCCTGCAAGCTTCTTTTCGCAGATGAAAAATGAATCCCAGCACAGGTCTGATAAGCCTTGTAGGCCAAAACAAAGCACAGCGGAGACACCCGGCTCTGGCTTTGTCCTCGCCATGGCGTCGGTGTTCCTTGGGGACCAATTGTGCAGTGTGGAGAGTCCCTTTGCCTGGTGGCCTGTCATGGAGTGTGTTGGACTATAACTCATAGCTGCCATTTCAGTAGCATTTATTTTGTTTAGCAGTTTTAATTTTTTTATACACACATAAAACCTCCCCCCCCTCAAGTAAAAGCCCAGCTCTGCTTTTCAAGAGGCCTAGAGTGCCCAGATATGTCATTGTTTTTCATGCATTAGCTTCAGAGGCCCTCAGAAGCAGAAGAGTATTTATTTATGGATTAGCTTGACAGAGTGCTCCCTACAAGTGCTCTGGATTCAACTCCACTGAACTCAGCACACTTACGCCGAGGTCCTGATCCTGCTGAGCAGGGGGAACCCGCTTCAGTGATGTCCTTGGTCCAGATGTTAAAGCTACGAACATGCTTAAACTGTGTGGGGACTGGAGCCCCAACCTCTAAATATCACATTAAAATAAATGTCCTATGATTTCCACCAGCTCCTGAAGCTGTAAATCTTTTAAGTTTATCATGAAATATTAAGTAAGACAAGCCAATAGTACAGTCAAGAGAGAATCTGACACTGTAGTCGGATCTTCCAGCCAGCAATCTTCATGAATGTACATGAGTATTTAGAAATTAATTATATTAAGGTTTATTATAAAGGACTTCTAAGAAAAGGTAAAAATATTATGTCAATTTACAACAGAATTTAAAGTCAACTGATAAAGAGCCACCAAACCTTAGATTTCTACCAAGTACGTAAATCAACTAGAATAGTCTTCACGTCAGCAAAAAACCAGTAGAAACAGTAGCATCTTGTAGTAGCAGCTGCCTGTTAATGAAACCCTTCCTTCGAAGGAGTGATTTTAGAATTCTGCAATAGCCAATGAAAATTACATGCAAACATTATGGTCATTTGTTATCATTATAAATTGTGATAATGTCATGGCTGACTTACAAAGATGATGACCTGAAAGGCCATGACATTATGACATTACATTTTATCAATAATGAAAAATTGCTTCTTTTGCATGACTGTAGCAGAGGTGAGCCAGGACCCCAGAAGGCTGCTAGTTTGTGCAGACTGGTCTTAGTGTCAGAGAGGAAAATGAACTGATAAAGAAACATTTTGAGAAAACAAACCAACCAACTATGGCAAGACTAGAGACAGGAAAATATATTTAGCTAACAGTATTTAGTTTGCATTTCTGAAGGCGTGGAGGCTGTACGACCTGAAAGTAGCACAGGGGAGATTCACCCAATGCAGGGAGCTTGCAATAGGCTCCTTCCAGGACTTGGGTGGCACAGTGAAGGCCGTGGCGACCAATGGAGCTCTTAATAAAGGGTTTTAATGTTTCAAATGGCATTAACTGACACTTCTGATCTGCCTGTTTTCCAATCCATGGCCGAGAGCGCCCCTCTGCAGAGCGCCTCAGACGTTTGGGCTTAGCTTGCACCTCGGTGATGCAGAGCAGCTCTGCCGGGGGAAGCGTGGGAT